TTAGACAGACCTGCAGAGATAATAACATGCACAAAAACAAGACAGAGCAAAACCAAGCAACAATATACAACAAAACAACAACAAACCAATGACAAAACAAAACACAACAGAACAACAACAACAAAGGAAAGCTTGTAGTTAGTTCAAGGACTTTTTGCTGGCCTTCAGGAGAAGAAAGCACTGTCTATCAAGAAGTAGTTATACATCAATGAAACCTCCCAGTCCAGTCCAACTGAAGTCCGTAAGTATGACATCAGTTCCTAGGCCCTCGGCAGACGCACGCACCACACGCAGTGAAGCAGATGCAGGAAGATCACAGGCCGGCCGGTGCAAAGTCATGTGGTCCAATGGCAGTGGATGCATCACAGGCTCACGCGGGTCTCATGACTCATCACCAGGAAGGTGGAGGCAGAGGGGGGCCGGCCTCCAGACAGCCAGTTTCTGGTTCACACCTCTTCCAGATGAGGTCATCATGCTGCGACCTGGTTGACAGGTAAACGCCACCTGTATCTTCTTACAGGTGTCGTGTGGGCACGAAAACACTAACTCTCACAGACACCATGTCTCTCTCATGTGCGCGGGAGAGGTAGTCACAGTGTGTCTATCACATACAAGCAAAGACCAGTTCTGTGCCACACACAAACACAAATGAGAGAGACTCAGCGTCTTTCACACACATGAGCGAGGACTGATGTCATGTATCTGTCTATCTTATGTACGAGCCGCGCATGCACACACATGGAAACAGACCCCATGTCTCTTACAAGCATGTGGGGAGACAGTATGTCTCTCACACACACAGGAGAGACAGATAAGAAATGTCTTACACAGGGAGGAGAAGACAGATACCATGTCTCATCATATACACACTGAAGATGATACTATCACATACACACACACACAAGATGGACAGCATGTCTCACACATCCACATGTACACAGAGCTATGAAAATGTGCTTCTTGTAGCCCAGTAAAGGGGATTCGACCACTTGCTAATTATGCAGACAAGGTGGGTAGAACGCTAATGAGAGGCTTGATATTTTCCCCATCCAGCTATTTTCCCATCCCAGCCTCTCTCCAGTGGGGAGGGAGGCTGGCTGGACACCAAGAGCAACAGCTCTAGGAATGTCCTGTGGACCTGGGACCCCTGCTCTGAGAACCCCCTGGACCCGGGAGACAGAGAGAGAGCTGTCAGTCTGGACACAGCCGAAGGCTGTGGGAACTCTTTCTTTTTGGTCCCACTCCATCTTCTCCCCTTGTCTCTCCATAGCGCCCCCCACCCTTTCTGGAGAGGGCCCGTTCTTGTCGTGAGAATGTACTATCAAAACTTTTACTCATACAAACCTTAGGCAACTGGACATCCCCTTACAGAAGGGTCGTGGGGAGGAGACGAGCCAGTCAGGGTGCAGTACAGCACTAATGAAACATACAACTTTCCTCTATCATGATCCCGTTCTACCTTACAAATCCGGCTAGACCAGAGGATGTACACTGGTACAGATAGATACTGGAAACACAGGGAATCCAGGGCGGATGATCCCTTCAGGACCAGTGGTGTGAGTGGTGATACCAGAAGGGTGGAGGGAGGGTGGGATAGAAAGGGGGAACCGATTATAAGGATCTACCTATAACCTCCTCCCTGGGGGACAGACAACAGAAAAGTAGGTGAAGGGAGACATTGGACAGTGTAAGATATGACAAGATAATAATAATTTATAAATTAACAAGGGTTCATGAGGGAGGTGGCAATGGGAGGGAGGGGGGAAATGAGGAGCTGATGCCAGGGGCTTAAGTGGAGAGCAAATGTTTTGAGAATGATGAGGGCAATCAATGTACAAATGCGCTTTACACAATTGATGTATGTATGGATTGTGTTAAGAGTTGTATCAGCCCCTAATAAAATGCCTAAAAAGCCAAAAGCTTCCTTTCACTTAGAGAGAGAGAGAGAGAGGCCGTGAGAAGCAGGGGAGAGAGACGGTGGCAGCAGAATGAGAGACCAGGCCCAGGTTTTGTGCTGAACGTCCTGGCCCCAGAGCCAGGTGGAAGGAGAGCTGAGCACCTGCAGACAGGCGGCCTGTGGGGTGGGTGTGGAATGCCCCCTGGCATTTGTCAGGGGGGCTAAAGAGCTTTAGATCACGGTGCCCTGTCGTGACAGAAGGCCAGCACAGCCCAAGAGGCCTGCGGGACTCCGGAGCTGGGAAAGACGTGCTTGCTGGCACAGCCAAGACACAGCTGTCCGGATAAGAGAACTGTCTCCAGAGTCCAACCAGAGCATTGAAACACCAGTGATTGATAGCAAGTCAATTCCGATTCACAGCACCCCTATAGGCGAGGGTAGACCTGCCCCCCTTGGGTTTTTGAGATTTAGACTTTTGTGGGAACAGGCAGATGCGTCATCTCTCGCCCGCAGAATGATGGTGGGTTTGCTAACCTGGCTAACTGCTTATCTGGTAGCGCCGCTCCTCAAATGTGCACAGGGAGATGGACATCAATGTAGAGGCAATGGAGCGCCACGTCTGTGGGCCAGATGTCAGGCCGGAGGCTTCTTCTGACTTAGGAAGCCACAGGAGCCGATGAGCCCAAGGTCAGCAATTCAGATGGCAGGCTTCTAGCTGCAGAGGCAAACGAGCCCCAGGTCAGCAGTCTGCTGACAGATCCCAGGACCGCCAGGCAAGACAGCAGGCCGCTGGCTCGATTCCACAGAAGCAGGGTCGGATGATGAGCCAGATGCAGGATCCAGACCCATCAAAACACAAGCAAGCTTCCACACCTTCCACTGATATTGGAAGCAGGGCACAGCCTCAAGGTGTCACCTCGGGAGAATCCTATGGTTTAACTGCCAAACTTCTGGGAATCCCGGCCCAGGTGAGGCTTATGCGTATTGTCGGTAGTTCTGTGCGGCCGTTGCAGGGAATCGCGGAGCTCGGCAGGAAAGGAGTGCCGTGGGAGGGAAGGCTGGGGTCAGAATGGGGTAGAAGGTGGGAGAGGCGGTCTGGGAGGCCTCCACACCACAGGAGTCAGCCGGGGGCTGATGCGAAGGAAATTCTCCGCCGAGACAGCGGCGTGGGGGCCGCGGCTGACCTCCTGCCGCTTCAGCAGCACGAAGGGGACTCGAGCTCCAAGACCGATGGCCAGCAGGTGAGGTCCGGCCGGCAGGCCTCGCCGTCCGCCCTCCTGGACCTGACCTTTCGTCCCTGGCACTCTGCTTCTCCACGGGGTTTGATCCTTCAACGGCAACTCACAGGCAGCACGGGTCAGCATGAGAAGGCCACAGGTTCCTACAGGTCAGCGTCAGAAAACATCCAGGGTAGTCTTTCGGCCTCAGCACCTCCTCTCCTCGGCCAGCAGTCGGTCTCTCTCTGGGCCTTGGCCTCTCAGCCACGTGGACCCTTGGCCTCTGCTTCTGACCCAGGAACCCGACTGCCGCTCTGCCTCCCCTCCCCCTGCTCCCAGGGGTGCGGCTCTCGGGGTGGCTTCCCTGCCGCCCCCAGCGCTCTGTGCCTGCGGCCGTCATTCCCCTTCAGGTGACAAACGTAGTGCGCCTCGCCGGGCAAGCACAACCCACTTCATTAGCCACTCGCAGTGGGGTTTGCTGCACATGGTTCTTGCTGCTTTTTCAGATTAAACGGTTTCACTAAAAAGTTAAGAAACCAACGGCAAAAAGCAAGATTTTCTGTGTGTCTGCCACTTGTTTGTTGTTAGGGTCCATCAAGTGGTTCCAGCTCAGCGGCACCGTGCTTGCCCCAACAACGCTGCCGGGCCCTGAGCGTCCCTCACGGCTGTTCTGGCCGAGCCCTGGGTCGGTCTGTCGGGCCGAGGGTCTTCCTCTTTCTCGCTGGCCGGCTGCTTTACCAAGCACGATGTCCTTCTCCAGGGGCCAGCCTCTCCTGATAGCTTGTCCGAAGCATGGGAGATGACGTCTTGCCGTCCTTGCCTCTAAAGAGCGCTCTGGCTGTCGTGTCCCTCCGGCAGTCCACGGCCCTTCGGCGTCCTCGTGAGCACCGTCCTCCAATAGCATTGATGATGCTTGGTCTCCCTGATCCCACGGCCAACGTCGACATGCACGTGAGGTGACTGGAAATGCGATGGCTCGGGGCAGGCGCCCCTTAGTCCTCACAGTGACCTCTTTGCTCTCCAACGCTTTACGGAGGTGTTGTGCGGCCGATTGGCACCGTGCCGCGTATCGTTTGGTTTCTGGACTGTGGCTTCCATGAGAGTTGCTTGTGGATCGAAGCAAAATGAAATCCTGACACCTCCAGTCGTGTTATCGCCCGGTCCGCTCTCGGCCGAGTTGTGAGGGTTTTCGTTTTAATTTGGGTTTGGGGTTTGTGTGTGTGTGTGTGTGTGTGTGTGTCACCGATTTTATTTTATTTTATTTAAAATCATTTTATTGGGGGTTAATTTGTTTTTAGGTGGAGTTGCGATCCATACCGAAGGCTGTGGTCTTTGATTTTCACCAGCAAGGGTGTCATGGCCTCCTCCCTTCCAGCAAGCAAGCTTGTGCCATCTTTTCTTGTCCCTCACAGCTTTCACCACTAATCACCTTCACAATCCAGACCCCCTCCAGCTACTGTCTTTGTAATCCCACCCATCCCGGTCTCCCTGTGTAGATGAACATGCAAACCCAGGGCAGTCAGCCAACAATGACATAGAAAACAAGCAGAGACCTCAATCTAAGAGAAAGCTGATGGTGCCCGACTATTAAAAGATGCAGCGTCTGCGGCCTTAAAGGCTTGAAGTTCAACAAGCGGCCTAGCCGAGAAGCAACAAAGTCCACCTGGAAGAAGCACACCAGCGTGTGTGATTAGGTGTCTATGGGATCAGGTACCAGGCATCAGAAGACCCAAAACACATAATCATCTTGTTGAGGACAAGGGAGGTCAGAGTAGAGACCCCAAGCCCATCTGTAGACCACTGGACATCCCCTCACAGAAGGGCGGCAAGGAAGGGATGAGTCAGCCCGGCTGCAGTATCGCACCAACGACACATACATTCCTCTGGCTCTTTGAGGGCGGTGTTCACCTCCAACATCATGACCCCAGCTCTACCTTACGACCCCGGCTAGACCGAGCATGTACACGGGTGGACAAGAGCTCTGGACACATGGAATCCAGGAGAGCGAAACCCCTCAGGAACAGAGATGGGAGCAGCGATACCAGGAGGGTAGAGGAAAGTGGGGCGAGAAGGGGGAGAAAAGGTGCAACTGATCCCAGTGATCGATGTATAATTCACCCCGCCCCCCACCAAAGGAGGAGAACAACAGAAATGTGGGTGAAGGGAGACAGTGGTAGGTGTAAGATATGAAAATAATAATAATTTATCATTTGTCAAGGGGTCACGAGGGTGGGGGAGGAGGGAGGTCAAAAAGAGGAAGCTGATGTTAAGGGCTCGATAGAAAGTAAATGTTTAGAGATAATGATGGCAACATATGTACAAATATGCTCGATACAATTGATGTATGGATTGTTGTAAGAGCCCCTGATAAAATAATCTTTTAAAAATAATAGTAATGAACCTCAGAGAAACTCACTGCCATTGAGTCGGTGCCGACCCAGGGACCCCATGGGACAGGGTGGCACCGCCCGTGGGCTCCCCGGCTGCCACTTGTCGTGGGACCGGAAAGCCGCATCTTTCTCTCGGTGTCCCTTTGGCAGGGAGCTGGGAACCACAGCTGAGGTTCCGGTGCTTGTGGGAACAAACCAGCAAGGGCCTCAGCCAGGGAATGCCTCCCCCTTTTAAAAATGCCCCCCGATCTGCAGGGAGCCCTGGTGGTGCTGTGGCATTTGAGTGCATCCGTCCAGGAGCCGGGAAGGAAGGTGAGGCTGTGTGCTTTGATCAAGAAGCAGGTCTCTGAGCATCCTGCAGTGGGCCGGCTGGGGTCGGGCGGCCCAGCCTGCAAGACCCACAGAGGCTGTTTGCCTCCGTCTGGCGGGTCAGTCGCCCTGGCCCAGGGCCCTTGAGTCCACAGAGACTTTGGCCCTTTCTGGGGACATTCCTGGAGCGTGACAGGGCGTGGGAAGGAACCCCCGTGAAGTGGGCGACCGTGGACATGGCTGGTGAGGATGGAGGTTGAACCTTGGCTCTGCCACTCAGACCCGGTCTGGGCTCCTGGGGGCTGCAAAGGGTGGACACAGGACCACTCCCTGAGAGGTGGGCGGGGCAGTCCAGACCACCCAGAGCTTTCTCGAAAAGGCCTGATGACGAACTTCCCAAAATGAGGGACCACCGAGACCTCCGTGTGGGAGCGATTTCTTTTATAAGAACGACTGTCCCAACTCGTCCCCAGAAGTTAGGGATGGAAACAGTCCCCAAAGCCCAACTCTTGGAAGAGGGCGGTCTGCTCCTTCTTTGTCCCCCTCCCCCTTTGGGTTAGTCCAGGCAGAGTAGAGAAGCAAATCCAGGGAGACTCGTACGTGTGTAAGAGAGAACTTTATATCAAAGAGTAATTGTATATTAAGAAAACATCCCAGCCCAGGTCAAGCCCATAAGTCCAATATCAGCCCATGTGTCAACACTAGTCCATAAAGTCCTCTTCAGACTCATGCAGCCATGCCATGACACTGAATGCAGGAAGCTCACAGGCCCGTGGGTGGAAAGTCTTGTGGCTCCAGTGGTGGTGGAAACATCTCAGCGCTGGCGTGGGTCTCCACGTGGCTCCTCCAGCTCCAGGGCTCTAGCGTAGCTCCATGTGGTTTGTCAGCAGGAAGATGAAGCAGAGAGTGCGTCTGGCCTACAGCGAGCTATTTATCTTCGCCTCCAAATGAGGTCACCAAGCTGCGCCATGATTGACAAGCTAGACTCCACCCTTCAAAATTGACAGGAGATGATGGAACTGCCACACTCCTGGAGTCTATTTGCTTCCTCACTGGGCTCTGCAAATGGCCGCAGTGTCCCCCAGAACTCACAGAAGTTCTAGAAAATGTCTCTCGGTCATGGGGGCAGTTCAGTGCAAATTCTGAACTTTGAAGAAATGACACCACAAGCCTCCAGGAACAACGGTTTCCAGGGCCCTGGCGTGGGGTCGGACTCACAGTCACCGCACGCAGAACAGAGCACAGCATACCTGCCCTGGGCACCTCACACTTGTCCTGTTTGCGCCCCGTGCCCATCACCTGTGGTCTCCCGAGTCGCTGCCTGGCTCTCATCACATGTGAGACAATGGGAGGACCACGGCTTGGTTCACGGACATGATCGTGCCTGGCTTCACGGCAGTGCGCTCAAGTCTGGGAGGTGATCCGGGTCGGAAAACCCCCAAACCCACGGCCACGGAGCCTGTCCCGACTCACCGTGACCCCAAAGGACGGAGCAGAAGTGCCCCCGTGGGTTTCCAAGGCTGTGAATCTCTCCAGGAACAGACCGCCTCATCACCCTTACTCTGGAGCGGCTGGGGGGTCCACCTGCTGACCTTGCGGTCAGGAGCCCCACTTACAAACCACCAGGTCTCCTACTGACATCTAGCTAGAATGGGGATACAGGGGGTTGTCTCCACCGAACGCTGACGCCAAATGAAAATTAGCTGCCGTCAAGGTTGGAAAAAATCGGGCACGCTAAGTAGACACCTATGGAGAAGCCAAAGCTGGGCATGCTCAGATCAAAGTCACAAGTCACCTAGCCCAGGTGAGGGGAAACCTGGGCCCACACACGATGCAAGGCACACGACATCACACAGGTGAGCCAATAAGATCGGCCAAGGCCCTCAACCACACCTCCCCAGCCCGTGGAGGGGAGAAAAGACTGTGGGCTCTTCTCTTGTCCAGGTGCCCTCTTGCATAAGGTGACCAGACGTCCTGCTTTGGGCGGGACAGTCCCGATTTTTAACAATTTTTCCCACGTCCCGCGGCGTTTTTAAAAAGTCCTGATTTTTGGAAAGAATGCACGACAAACTAGGGTATACTGTTTTCGGCTGCCACGTGGCTATTTCGCCAGGATGTGAATTTTATCAATGGTGTCCCGCTTTTGTCTGCTTTACCAATGTTCAAATCTGGTCACCTTAGTCTTGTAGGGCAGGGGTACACACGCGCCCCGCATGCCCTCTCTGGGTGCTGTCTCTCTCTCTTTCTGGGCGGTCTCTCGGGATTCCCTGCTCTTGGCTCACATGCTGATTCCATGCCCCTGTTCTAGTGTTCCTTCCTTGTGTTTTTCCACGCTCCCCCGAGATGGCCATTTTCAGCCATGAACTTTCCCACCGCTCCCACCGTGCAGACGTGCACACTTTCCAAGGACAGTGTGCGCTTTCTGAGACCGATACCAGAAACCCCCGTTCCCTCATAAGAGTCACTCGCATTTACAAAAGCGCTTCTGCCCCGTGAATTCTTTCAGGGTTGAGAAGCAAGAACGGGAGGCCACCCCGAAACCTCACACCACCATCATATTCTAACACTGCCCCCCACCGTATTCAACCCAACACACTGCCCTCGAGTGGACTCGAACTCACAACCACCCTGTAGGACAGAGCACAACGGCCACTGTGGGTTTTGAAGGCTGTAAGAAGCTACAGGAGCACAATGCCTCATTGTGCTGCCTCAAAGCCGCTGGTGGATTCAAACTGCTAACCTTGCAGGTAGCAGCCCAACCAGGGCTCCAGTCTGTGAGTCCTTACGAACAGAAAGCGCTCTCTGGCAGGCAGCAGAAGGGGCTGGCCACGTGAGGGGGGCAGAGCCAAGGCTGGCTTGGAGGAGGAGGAGGAGGAGGAGGAGGAAGCCCGCTGGACAAAGGATGTGAGTGGTCCTTGAAGGGGAAAATGGCTCTAGTGAAAGCCAGCCAACGCGGGAGCCCCAGGTCTACGGCCCCCGCTGCTGTGGATCAAATCAGACCCCTCCCCGAGACAAGTACACGGGACCCTCCTGCCCATGGGGCTATCCTGGGGCGGAGGGGAGATGACAGGGTTTTCCTTTGCTGCAAGAAGGAGGGGCTAGTCTGAATCCAGTGGTGCGGCTAACTAATCGCAGGCCAGCAGTTCCAACCTGTGGTAGTCACCTAATCTGGTGTCGGTTGAAGGGTTAAGAGTGTCTGGGGGAGAAAGCGGAAATGCTCTGCCGTGATCAAGAGTTACCGTCGTGGGGAGGGAGGAGGGGCCAAAAGGGAGCTGATACCAAGGGCTCCAGTAGAAGAACATGGTTTGGAAGTGTTGATGGCAACACAGGTGCAAGTGTGCTTCATACAACTGAACGATGGATTGTCATTCAATTTGTAAGAGCCCCCCCAGTAAAATGTTTTTGTTTTGTTTTTTAAGTTACAGTCTCAGAAACCCGCGGGGAAGTCCTCCCTGACCCTGTCCTGCAGGGTCGCTGTGGTCAGCGCTGACTCGAGGGCAGCACGTGGGTTTGCTGTGCAGCTCAGGGTGGGGGCAGTGGCGTGGTGAGAGGAAGTCCACCCGGCTGCCCGCTGCCATTTCCTGGGGCCGCAGAGCCGTGGGGCTGTGAGGAGCCTCATGCTCGCCTGCTGTTTCCCTTCTCCCTGCCCCACAGCTCTCGGCCTCACGCAGGCTCCAGCCTGTAAAACGGCCAGCAGGCTCCTCGGAGGCCAGGATGGCGAGACTCCCTCTCACATCCTGTGGGCGCGTCGTCGGGAGAGACCAGTCCCTGGAGAAGGACGTCGTGCTTGGTCATGTGGAGGGGGCAGAGAACCAGAGGAAGGCCCTCAAGGAGATGGACGGACACCGCGGCTTCTGCCATGGGCAGGGTCACTATGGCTTGGAACCGGCTCGAAGGCACCTGACAACACTGCCGCTGTGTGCGTGAGGGGCAGCATGGACACCCAGCTGGGCCAGCAGACCCAGGAGGGAGGAGCGGAGCACAAGGAAAGGAGCCAGAAGCTTCTCCAAGTCCAGGAGACTCAACAGGAGGGTCTGGACTAGTGGCCTCCTGGACTGAGAGGAAGTGAGTGGGTTTGCTGAAGGCCCTGCCCAGGAGGGGCTGACACAGCGCAGTGGGTAACCTGTGCCCACACGGAGCCACAACTGTGAGGCTGGCACAGGCCCGGCCGTGTTTGGTTCTGCGGTGCATGGGCTCGCTGTGGGCTGGGGTTCTCTCGATGGCACCCAACAACAGCAAAGCCCCGACCTGCGGCCCCCACCCTGTGTGGCCGACCCTTTGATGCAGGCTCCCCAGGCCAGCCCTCTGACCCACAGAGCCCTGGGCTCCCCACTGGGGTGTTTCCA